CTGTACAAGAGTTCACATAATAGTTTCAGCACCTACATTTATGCACTCTGTACTTCATAAAATCTTTGTATTGCAGGCGCATGAGAATAGGCCTCCCCGTAACTGTTCCGCTGCGCAACCGCTTAACGAATTCACAGAGGAGGTGCTCCAAAATTTCAATGAGGAACATCCAATAACACACCTGCTAATCTTCCATTTCGAGCCTTTTCGGCTGCACGTCCAAGAGCACGGCTTTCGAGAAATGTGGCATGCCTAACGAAACCCGGGTTGCTTGCCGATGTCAATTGGAAACTTGGAATTAAACGTCGATTTTTTCGTTGTGGGAGCCAGTGTTATCTACGACCAAACTTTTTCCCGAACATCGGTTCAGAGATTCAGAGAGCCTGTTTCCAACTGTCTCTGTATGTTTACAGCCGTTATTTCTTTCTCTTCTCTTCTCTTCTCTTCTCCTTTCCTTTCTTTTTGTAGATGCTGTCGGCTTCTTGGGTCACGTATCCAACCTAGTGACAGTTTTGAAGTTGCCCTCGTGTTTTTTGTTGCGAGATTTGGAACCAGCAGCGGCGAGGTTCTACCATCCACCGTCAGACTCGGTGCGGATAGCTGATAGCCGGGTTAATATGTTGGCGTCCAACTCCTTCCACCTCCACACCGTACAGCTAACGATGAGAGACCAATGGGTGTCAGGAGTTTTTAGTCTCGAGAGCTGATTTATCCAAAAGATAAATATTACATGATGATATTTTGAAAGCGTGCTTTGTCTGGTGGAGGGTTATGTGGACAAAACGATTCAGAAGTGGCTCCCCCCGTCGTCACCGCATGGACAATAAAGACAATAAAAGGCCCAAAAAAAAAAAAAAAAAAAACATAGTCCTTCTCCTGCATTTTGAAATTCTGATCACTTTTATTTTGGTAGTGCTGGCTTGCTTGCTATAGAGAGCATCTCTAACTTATGGACGCCAAACAAAGACCATCAGAATAGAGTAAATCTGGTCAGAACAAGCCTCGCGGTGGCGGAGTATAAATTATCTCGGTGGGTTTGGCATCGTTCTATCTATATCCTAGATAAATATCTGATGTAGATTTAAAAAACGATTCGTTGCAACCATTCCAAGGTTTTGAAGTCCTCAAAATGGATGAAGGTGTCAGATCCCCGAATTCACGCTAGCCTGTTTGGGGCGCGGAGTTCCAGGGCCTAAAAAGCTTCGGTTTCGAACGAAGGTGGAAACACATCAAACAATTGACTGAATCCGCGATATCAAATAACTACCACCAGGACGCTGCTCTTACCTTTACCTTTCTTTCCATGTGATTGCCATCGCTGCTATCTTGCGACAGCCGGATTAATTTTTAATTTTGACAACTCTGCTACCGCCGTCACTATGGAGGCGGCTGGTCCCTTCCAGCCACAGCCCTCCAATGACACAGCACATGCTCTCAGCGCAATGGATTCATCAATGGATATTGATATGGACCTTGATCTAGGTCCCTTGCCCGAACCAGAGCATCTTGAGCCAGTCAGTACATCAACGACTATGGCTTTGTTTTCACTACAAGTTTCTAATGGACTTTGCTATAACAGGAGATTATTGCGACACCCTCGGTGGAAGAGGCAGCGGCGAGCTCTCACCTTAATGAGGAACCCCAGTTTGAGAAGGTCCATATTAGGGGGGTTGATGAGTTGACCACGGATGATCTTAAGCGCTACGCAAATGAGCATTTCACTGTGGAAGAACCCGTCAGGCTAGAATGGATCGATGACACATCTGCAAATTTCGTGTACAGCTCGACTGAAATCGGCCTCCAGGCCCTGGCGATATTTTCACAACAAAGCATTGAAGAAGATACGTCACCACTACCTTCACTACGGCTCCGAACAGCGAAATCCCTATCAACACATCCGGAATCGGTACTCCAAGTACGGTCAGCCGTGAAGTCAGATCGAAAAAGGCAGCGTGCGCATGAATGTAGCCGCTTCTACCTTATGCATCCGGAGCATGACCCACGAGAGCGCATGAGGAGAGAGTTCGCTGAAAGGCGGCGCGGCGGTCGACGGGATGACAGCGACAGCGACTACTCAAGAAGGCATTTCGATGACAGGGAACATAGACGAAGAAGAGACCGTGCAAACGATGAATTCTTCGAAGTTAGCATGTACGATGACGACGGGGGAAGAGGTCGCAGAAGAAGTGGCTCACCCGAAACGGGATCAAATGGAGGTGGGAAGGGGAGATCAAGACAGAACAGACGCGGTGGCCACGAACTTTTCCCCGATGACGGGCATGGCTCGAAAGGGCGTCTTCGAGATCGAAGCGCTTCTCCGCCTAGAGTGGAATTCGATCAAGAGGACCCTACAGTGGATAGCCTGGAACGAACTCGTAGACCCTTCCGAGACAGATCTCCAATAAACAGTCGAAACAGGGATCTTTTCTCCCGGGATCACGAATATTTCAATAGTGACGACAGCTCTGGACCCCGAGAGCTATTTCCGAATAAAACATCATCTAGTTATCTCAAAAAGGAACTTTTCCCAAATAAAACTTCCACAAGCAATCACCGGCGTTCTGATGCATTCGACGCTGCGGACGAAACCGCAGACCCATTTTCCAATCACATGGCAATTCCATTGATGAGTGGTGCTGCAGGCGGTGGTGTGGCAACTGACAGGTCAAAAGGTCAAGTTGAATTATTCCCAGAGAAAACGGGCAACAATGGAATCAAAATTCGTGGCTCTGCCTCAGAGACTCAGGGGATATCTATTCGTGGAGCCTCGAAAGGAGTCTCTATCAAAGGTGCAGCGTCGGTGAGGGAGTTATTTCCTTCGAAATACAGCAGCAACGAGGGCAAAGAACTCTTTTCTGATAAGCTTCAAGGTCGAGGAGGTAGGCGGAGGAGGGCAGAGGACATGTTTTCATGAACTTAAAAATGGCTCTTTTCCTCATAGGTAAACATTTGTCATTCAACGTATGAGTGCTAGTAGGCAATGACAAGTTTAAACACCATTTCTCCTTTTGATTAACTGTTTTATGCTTTTCGTATCTTTTAAATAGAGATGAAATTTTCATTTGTTTTTTTTTTATAAAAAAAATCATAAACGTTTCTCAAATAATGAACATGATGCAATGAGACAAAATGCAAGAAAATAGTTTCAGTTATAATATAATTCTCAACTTAGTAGTATATCAAAATGCAGTGTTTACCAATCTTCTTCTGACACTTTAAAATGTTAAAAATTCAAAATAAAAATAAAAAAACTTAATAAAGTGTGAAATTTAACTAGCAATATTTTTATTATAAATGATTATTTATTTGAAATTATTTTTTGAAATATTTATTTTATTTATATTTAAAAAAATTTAAATTAAACAATAATTATATAAAATTATAATTAAAAATTTATATATATTATTTCTTAACTCTATAAGTATAAATAAATTTTATATTCTATATTATTATATTTAATATAGTATGCTAAAGCTTGCTTTATAATAAATTGATTTAAATTTTTTACTAGTTATATTTTTTATGATTTGTTAAGCAGCTTAAGTTTTAATTAATTTTTTTTACTGTTAGAATATTTTTCCAAGCTATATAAATAAACTTTTATAATTATTTGTATTTTAATTTTTTAATTTATAGTCTATAGAATCTTGGTTTTCAGTATCAGAATAGATATCACTATGCATAGACTAGCTAATACTTTTAAATCAGTTGATTTAAAACTTGATTGATTAAATTAAAAAAACTTTATATATAGTATTTAATATATTACTTGATTTTATTAAACTAATATTTTAATTAAATTATATGGTAAAAAATTTTCAAGATTTATAAAAATTAAAATTTATTATATATATTATAAAACTAAGTATATATAATTAAAAATTTAAATATATAAAAATTTTTTTTAAATTATATAAAATTAAATTTATATTTAAATAATTATATTTTTTAAATATTTTCTTTTCACTATAGTATATAAATTTAAAAAAAATATATTTTATTTATATTATTAATATAAAATCTAATATTTATTTTAATTTATTTATTATATATTTTAATTAAAAAAATAAAATAGTTTATATTTAATAATTATATAGAGAAAATAAAATAATATTTATTATATAAAATTAATTAAAGTTAATTATAATATAATTTTTATAAATATTTAAAATATAAAATTAATATTTATTAACTATATATTGATTATATTAAATTTAACTATTTAATAAATTTATTATTATTATTAATTTTAATTTTTAATTTATAAGTAGATTTTATATTATAAAATTTAATACATATTATTTATAAAAATAATTATTAAAAATATAGTTAATTTTATTATATTAATTATCTTAATTTTAATTTTTAATTTTTTAAATTTAATAATTATTTATATTATAATAATTTTTATAAAAAAAAATTAATTTTATTAAAATTATATATAATTTTTGATAAAATATTATTTTTAATATTTTTTATCAATTTAAATAATTCAAGTATAATTTTTAAATATTTATATAAGATTTATTAATAATTATATTTATAATATTTAATTTTTAAACTTATTAGAATATTAAATAAATCTTTAAACTTTATATTTTTAATTATAAATAATGAATCAGATTTTATATATATTTTAATAATTAAATAATCATATTTTATATATCTATGAATCAGAGGAATAGATTTCTCTCATTTATGAATATTATTCATTGAAATAGAGATTCTTCTTCAATTGGGATAAGCTTTTAATTGTCTTGTTAAAAATTCATATGTATGATTTGACTGTGTAGTCAGGAGAATAGACTTGAGAAAGCAACACCTTGGCGGCCACTTATATGCTTGAAAATTGCTTAGTTTCATAAGCTTTAATGATTAAAAGAATCCTTCCTTCCTTATTGGAAGCTTGATCTTTTGATTTGATGGGTAGCCCAAAGGCAGCATGCTGAGAGAATGGTATACAGGAACCTGTAAGAAAATTGCAATGTACAAACAAGGTAATGGAAGCTGGTGGATTTGAATACCTTTTGCAGGAGTTTCCACCAGAATTCGAGTGTGTCAGACCTCTTTGCAGAACCATACGAGGTGTGCTGTTTCTGTATGGGGAGGAAGGACTTATTGTTGGAACACCGTAAGACCCAAAATCGTTATACAATCCTGTTATTAAGGAGTATGATGATGATGATGATGATGATGATGATGACCGATTGAAACTGAATAAGATTAATGTTTGTACTGTTATGGTGAATCAGAAGCTTCAAGACACGCCATTATCACCTGTTGATCCTCCATCTGAATATAACCAACCCTATCTACAAATCTTATGTGGAAACGATGATTTTACGACGATGCCACTCTTGTGCCTTCTCCTGCGACTTGCGTCTCGTCTTGCTTTTGGCTTTCTCTCTTGATGGTCTAGTCATCTAAATTCTGACCTTAACTTCATGTATTCACTGGATTCAGCACTTTCCCCCACCTTAAGTCTAGTCACCAGCAATCCAATGTCGCCCATCAATTAATTGGAAAATGATATGTTAAATTCAACCCCCAAGCATCACAAATATATCTCTTCACGCCAAATATGTAGCTATGTAACAAAACCCTAAAGGTCCATTATACGCAAGCGCAAAATGGAAAATCCGTGTGCAGTCAAAGTGTTTCTGGAATGGTCCCTGATGGAAGCGCGTCAGCACCAGGAGCATGATCACCCGAGAGAGCGGCCCTAGTTTAACGTGATTGTACGCTTTGGGGGCTTTTCGAGAGTGAGCGGGACTGATGTCACTGGAGTGCGAGCGCGAATCCTTCCAACTCTCCTATACTATCAATGAGTTACTTGGTCCACCCTCCCTCCAAATCTTTAGAAAATATAGGTATGTCTGGAGAAGACTTAGGCGTGAGCCTAAAACCTCGCCCATGCCTGTTCGCTGAAATCTGGAGTGGGATTCTTTTTCCACACCGACATCAGAAATGGATGGTGGTTTACCTGGCGAAGATGAGCCCTTTCATCTTGAGTATTTCGCAAGTTGATGCTCATCATATCCTGTGGTAACTGTTGGACTGAAGCATCACTAAGGTAAACCCGCAACCTGTCTCAATCTCCACTCAAGTCCTCAATTTTTATCATGAATGACCTTCCTGCTAGTCGAAACCATCAATTGTACACCGTCACCAGTCGCGTAGTTGTCAATTGTGCTAATGCTTTGGTTCAAGTTATTGTCTGCTCTACAGCATATATCAAAGCACTGACAGGCCGTCTCCCATTCACCCCGCAGCCTTGCAATATTTGAATGTTCCTTCTCTGACACCATAGATGTCTTGGATTTATGTCAGCTACTGATTCATGATATCTCGCATGTGCCTTTCTTCCAATTTTGTGGTTGTAAGAATAAGGCTATTTTTACATTCTTGCCGGCTCTCACTGGTAACATTTTCAGGCAAGGTATCCAAATCAACTTGTCTGGGAGAGTTGTCACCACGCTCAAGGGGGAGCTGAATCTGATTAATGTGGTTGGACAATCAGGCAACAGAATTGGAGACAGTTTTCTGTGCTTGTGCGATCCTCCTTTATCTGCTGCAGTTCTAACACATCTGAGTTAGACTCTGGCATGGATTGTTCAATTATATGCTCAAGTTTTCCGTCAATGCTTTCAAGATGAGCCTCAAGATCAGCCTTCGCGTTATTTATGAGTCTTTTTATCTTTCAAGGGTTTCAGCATTGACAGTGGATCTGTGACCGACCCAGTTATTAGTCAAACAGCTGTGTGCTATGCATAGGATACTAGAGACTTACAGATTTGCATCAGTGAGGGCAACACTGATGGTCAACTTGTATCCAACCAGTACTTGTGTGAAACAGTTGATGTCATCACCTGTGTACCTTAACTTGGCCCAGTCTCAAAAGCTTGTCCGACCATCATAGACCTCGATGAACATTTCATAATTTCCTCTTTAAATTCTTTGCAGGCATTCTCCGCAGTGTAGTAAGGGAAGTTTAAGAGCAGAGAGGTCTACATTAGCATTGACTGTGTCTGTGAGCGGGGCTAGAACCTCACCCAATGCCTCAAGCTCCTCGAGAAAGCCGTGTTCAGATTTCAGATGAGACTGAAAACTCTTGATAGTTTCATAAAGTGTGATGCCAGACTTAAAGGGCAAAAGTAGTCAAAAGTCAGTAGTTAGTCCAGAAGCAAGGCTTATAGATTCTGCAATCTTGTCCATCCCTACAATAAATAAAAGAGTGGGGATGGGTGGGAAGTCGATATTTGTGCCCCAGAATCGCGATGTCAGGCTGGGTTTAAGCACATGCTGGGCTGACGGCGAACTGGATTGGTCTTTATTGAAGCTCAGGACTAATCTGGGCTCCGCGATCACCAATTACCCAATAATTAATACACTGAGATTCATCATCTTGGCACTGAGCAAGACCGAAAAAATCACCTCTGGAATATGTACAATTCCTTACACGGCTTGGCAGGTCGAGGTGTGACATACATAGTATCATGAATAAAAAACAAATGTTAGGTCTAGAAAGTAGCTATTCATGATAATCTAGCATTAATGGCTCATACCTGCAATGCTGGGATGAATCCTTCAAGCAATCAGCGGCGGCAACGCAAACTGAGATTATACTAAAATTAAAATTAAATACTTCTTTAATAAATACTAAGTTTATGTTATAGATCTACTATTGATTAAAAAGTTTTAATAAGCTTTTAAACATAAAAATTAACTATATAAGAAAATAAAATAAAAAAAAATAATTAAAAAATAAAAATTAAAGTTTATATTTATCTGAAAAATTAAGTTAATAATAGTTATAATATACTTTATTGATATCACTAAGCAGTGAATTTTCTGAAAATCATCAAATATTCAATGTATTCAATAATCAACACATTTAAATATTTGAAATATTAATAAATTAAGACTATTTAATGTGATGGTGTAGAACAGACTTATGTCTAACCTTCTTAACAGTGTAATTGTACAGGCTGAGGTGATTGATAATTGCAACTGCCTAGACAATGGCAAACAATCTTACAATTATCCTGTGTATAAATAATATATAAATGTGGCAATTGCCTAGCAATTGCACTAAGAAAAGAACTATATAAACAGAGCCTTCTTCAAACTCATTTTTTAGAAATCATCTTAGCATTTACTCAGATAACTTATATAGTTGGCAATTGAATATCTATTTCACCTGTATCTAAATTGTAGCTATAATATAATACTAAGATCAAATACTTTTCTTACCCTTTTTAAAGCAGATTTTTAGATGAAAAATCTTTGAGAATTCTTATCTACTTTTGTTTTTGAATCCTTGATTTTGAAAGATGTTGGAAGCAGTTAGAGAGTCTGACTATTTATAAAGATCAGACTAAGATATAATGACCTTAACTAAGAGAAATATAAGGTCAAAAAATCTTATATTAAAGGAATAATTTTTTATAGCAATTGAAGAGAATTCAGATCAGATATATCAAGAGATTACTAGTCTCATAAATGAAGTAAGAGGCATTTTAGAAAGAATTAAAGTAGAACAAAATAAGCAGAAAAAGTAAATAAATAAACTTGACTAGTAAATGAATAGCTTGATAGAGAAATAAAATATATTACAGCAGACTATAAATTCTTTAGTCTCTCAAATCAGATTAATAAATACTCAACAGATATAATAATCAGTCAAACTCAATGATTCTCAGTATTTTATCTATGAAAAAGAATCAGTATTTGAAAACTAACTCTTCTGAATGAAATACAAGTTATCTGTTAACACAGATCACTTTTCAACTGAAGAAAATTATATTATCTATATTGGAAACTGAACTAATGATGAAGCTGCCAGATACTTAGTCTTAAGAATAAAGAAAGATCATTCTGAGAAGTTTAAAATAGCTGAGAAAGTATTCAAATATCTACAAAAAATATAATAATATTAATAAGCTTAAGAATGCAAAGATGAAATATCAATGACTAATAATGAGAAATAAAGATGATTATTATATATTTGTGATCAAATTTCTACATTTGACTGGTGAAGTTCAAGTTCATAAGAAAGATTATAAAGCAGACTTTTTTCATAAGATTTTCTTTGATCTTTAATGTATGATTGCAGTAGTATGTATTAATTACAGCATCTTTTATGAGATTCAAGAGATTTGCACTAGGATAGCTCATTATATTAAAGATATATTTAATTAAAACAACTGATAGCTACTCAACTGTGAAGAAACTTCTACAATTCAAATCAACTGTAAAAGAACTCTCTCAACTTGAAACTGTAAAATGACTCTAATCATATCAGCATAAATAATTAAGAATAGATTAAAAAATGAAAATTGAAAAAAAAATATAAAATGCTTTAATTATCAAAGTAAAAATCATATAGTATAAAATTATTCATATAAGCAAAAAATAAAACTAAAGAAAGTAAATACTGAAACTGCTATCATTAAATTAAAAAAAGATTAAATTTGAGAGAAGTTTTTTTTCTCAGGTAAAATAGTTGCATTAGAAATTTTGAATATGAATTAGTTGATGAGTAAAAATCCTTTTACTGTATATATCAGAGTAGTTTTTAATGAATATACTATTTCTACAAGAGTACTAGTAGATTCTAAAGCAAATTACTGTATTTTTATTGATATAAATTTTGTATATAGATATGTTAAAGCCTTAAAAACAAACTTTGAAAAGTTGATAAAAGATCATTAGGTCATAAAATTCAATAAATAAAGAGAAACTTCAATCATAAAAGTCATCTTTTTATATTTATAAGTAGATAAGTAAAGGTTTCTCAATATATTAATACTAATGATAGACCTGAGGAGTACTGACATAATTCTAGAATGATTTTAGTTGAAAAAGCAGAAAACATAACTAGATGTGAAAAATTAATATCTAGTTTGATCAAGCATACAGACAATTGAAAATAAAATATCAGAAGAATGTAATATAATAATTTCAAGAAAAATTCTAAAGAGATCAGGAGTGAAGTCAGATTATCAACAAGATACAGATTATCGTAATAGACTTATTGATAAAAAATTCAAGTGAGAAAATACTGAAAGATCTATGAAAATTCAATGAAGAAATAAATAAAATAAGCAGTAAGAAATAATATTCATTGAGAGTATGATTTTTTATCATCATAAAAGAAGCAAGAAATCAGAGATTTTTATTTTAAATTTTTATGATATAGATAAGATTATTGAGAAGAAAAAGATTATTATTAATATAGAACTAAAAAATAAAGAAATAATTAATAAATAATTGTCAGAGAATTATAAGAAATTTTATAATATTTTCTCAAAAACTATTTTTGATTAATTACTACTTTTTTAAAAGAAAGTAAACTATAAAATTAAGCTTGAGAAGAGAGCTGATTTAAATAAAACTATCAATCATGTAT